TACTAGAGCATAAATGACTTGTATTTTTAATAAGGCATAGATTCAGATAAATGCATTTTTATCCTTTTCACTTCTCCCTCATTCACTTAATTGTACATCAAGCTTTATTTCTCATTTGATTATGTTAGTGTAGTTGTTTGTGGAGCTGTACCATGTGTTTGAAATTCTAGGGATTTTGGAAAAAAAAAAGGCATTGTTGATGTACACTGTTAAAGTTTAAGCTGTTGTTACTGTTAGTTTGCTGCCTTATTAAGCAAATTAAATTCCTAATTAAAAGACTTTTCATTAAAAAATATAGAGAGTGACTCTTTGTTTTTTGTAAACAAAGTAATAGGAGCCATTTCTCCTCAACAGGGGAAATTTTGCAGCACATTATTGCTGGATTGGGAATACTCCAAAGAGAACAGCTGGCTACCTGTTGCGATTGCGGTGAATAAGACCACAAGTGTACAGCCATGTACATATATACAATGGTTTTTACCCCTTGGGTGTTGCTTTTCACAAGCATCATTTCCATCATGATGCCAAATATATCTTACAAGTCCTTTTGTAGTAGCCCTTAAATAAAAAGCAGTCTGTAAAACTGTTGAGATTTTGTAAGATATTATCACCTAATAACTTAGAATATAATGAGTCAGCACTTTGTTTTTTTTAAACGCCCCACCAATAACAACAATTTTTTCTGAAAAAAATATAAAAATACCTTCATATTTAATATAAGTTAGGTTACATATTGTACTTAATTGGTGTGTTTTCAGAATTTATTTCTTATCAACACATTCCTATGACCTTTTTTCTTGTAAAATACTTGACTCTTCCTCCTCCACCCCCTTTTGTGTTTACAAAGTTCATGATGTGAAGGTGTCTCTGCAGTGAAGGTCTTTAAGATCAAGGAGATGGATTGTCTAAGTGCTGCTGAAGAGTGTAGGTTCTATGTTCTTAGTGAAACTTTGACCTTTATAATTCCCCCAAAGGTGAGTCAGTGGGAAAGAGGAGATGGAGACAGCTTGTCAGTCTTTAGCTGAAGCACTGTATAGGTGACATACACCTATATACTAATGTATGCATCCTTATATTAGTGTTATATATTGAGGATAATCTTCATTTGTAGACTTACAGAACATATTTTATATGCTTTTTTTCCTCTGGCTGACGTGGGTTTATATGAATCCTAAAGAAAAGTTTCAACTTTGAAACTAAAAAACCCTCTGGTTCTACCTTGAGATTAGGAATATGAATCAAAAGTCTCTCTTACTAGTTGGGGTTTTTTCTCCCCACTTCCTCATAGTTTAGCTATGTCTGTCTGGCTCATTGTTTTGTTTTTTTTTTTTTTTAGTTTTTAGGATTTCAGTCAGTTCATCAGCTTATTTCTTTACCTGTTTTGTTGGTTGTGGTTTGTGTTTTTTTTGATGAACATTGTAAGCTGACTCTAAGAGATTGAGTTAATTCAGTGGATATCAAACTAAGTTATTGGCAAACTCTTCTGGTGTTTGTGTTCTCAGGGGAAAATATTAAAGGAAGAGACTCAAGACCCAATTAGGTACACATTTAACTTACCAGGTATATTTGGACTAAACAAAGAGCTCATAACAGGGGAAAAAAAGAATTTGTCAGCAAAGAATGACTTAGAGGTCAAGATATGCGAGTATAACATTATAGGTGCAAAAAATAGACTATGTAAGTTCTTGGAGAAGAAATTGGAACAAACAGCAAAGTGTTCTTCAACTGTAAAAGTTAAAAGAGAGCGAGAAAAATCCAAGGGTGACCTCTGCAAGGTCCAGATGGTATAAAGGATAACAATTATTTAGGAATGGTCCAAAAACTAAGTAGCAATGTTTGAATACAGACAAGGCAGTTAAGGCAAGCCAGATACTGGTTCCCTCTTAAAGGATCTGCTGTGTTCCAGTTCTTTCTAGAAAATGCACTTATTTCCTTAAATCTTTCAGAGAAGTTGAAAGGGGATAAAGCCATGTTAATGGAGACTGACACATTTTACAAAAACACTTAGGAAAATGGAAGAATAGTGAAGAGGATGAGTTTCGTTAGCTTAACCTCAGCACTGTGTGTTGGTTAACTGGGAAGGCTTTTTCAATCCTGTTCTTTTGAGAAATCCCATGAGTTTTGTTTCCAGAGGTTTTTTTTTCCTCATTCAGAAATGATTCAGATTGCCTCAAGTTTATTGTGAGGAACTAGGATTTATGAATCTGTATTCTGAGATCAGACATTTAAACCATGAAATCTAGCATCCTGTCATTGGTAGCAATTACTTCTAGTTGTATCAGGAGAAAGGAAAAGAGGTGCTTAGCTCTCTTCACACGATTCTTCTCTGGCATTTTCATCTGCGGAACTGTGATGCTGAATTCTGAATAACTCATATGCCCTTCAGAAAGTAAAGTGAATGGAAAGAGAGATTTTTCTAGAGAGATTTGTATACATGAGAATAAAACCTTAAGAGTTTTCACTATCTTTTCCTCTTTCTTGCCATCTTTTATGGGTTAATTCTTCTGTTATGTTTCCATCGACATTTGCTTTAGCCCTTTGACTTCTATTTGAAAACAATTTTGAGCAAAGACTTTCTCACACTTGTAACAGAATTCAAAGCTTATAAATCAATCATCTGCTTGAGTCACCTGAGAGCTTGTCCTTGTAAAACATAAAGCCGAAGAGCTGTTAAATCTAAACAGTTGTCATTTCTTCTAAAATGTTGACTTTCAAATTTTTACCCAAGTATTTTTTATTGTTTTTGCAAATATTTTTCGTTGCACCTTAATAGGAAAAAACTCAGTATTTTTCTTTCTTCTCCTAGTGTGCTAAAGTAGCTGATAGTAGAATTCTTTGTTTTGAGACTGATCTTTGCATGTTTCATGAAAATCAGTTTGCCATATTTCATTTAAAAGTTTATTTTTCAAATACATGTGACTCTTAAGACTCAGGTTCTTTTTCTTTGCTCTTGACCTACTTCTTGCTTCAGTCTGTGCCTCATTTAATGGCTACTGGTTTCAGTGAAGTACTGTATAAGAGCAGTATTTTATCACTATAGCTTCAATCCAGATAACAGACTTTTAAAATCTAATTTTAAGCAGAACATTCTTTTTCTGTGTTTTCATTTCAGCCCAGTCACTAAAAGAGTTTGCTCGGCTCCTGATTGCTGTTGAAGAGGAGAGAAGACGACTGGTAAGTTTGCTGGCCAAATGTTGCATTGGGCCTCTTAAGTAATTTCTTATTTGTGTAGTAAATGTTAAATATTTCATAAGAATTACCAGGAATTTTGCAAAGGCAGAAATGTATTAGCACAGACTGTAGTAATTTTTAATAGAGTATTCAACCAAAGACTTTTACACTGTTTTCTCATTTTCCTCCCTCCCCACTCCCTGCCCCAAAATAACCTTTGAATGCTGCTGCACCTTTCCTTTCCCTCAAAGAGCTTATAACAGAGATGTAGATGAAATGAAATACTCTGAAATACTCTGAGTGTTGTCCAGTGAATGTATCCTAGTGATCCAAGAATATGATAAGTGAAAAGAAGAGAAAATAAAGTCATCATCCCAGAGAAACTCTTGCAGGATATGTTGCAGATCAGACTTGTCAGATTCATCCATTGATATGGTGTCCTTATTCCCTTTGAATCTACTGTATGCTTTCATTTATATTTCTATTCAAATGTAGCTTTGTCAAAGAAGTTTTAAGTGTATTCTTGTGTAAGTATTTTTAAAAAACTTCTACGTAAGCAATGAAAGTATTTTTTTTTCTTCCTTGGGAGTCAGTAATGAATAAATGAGTGAGCTAAGAATTAACCTCAGTAGGGAGATTTTTAAATACTGAGAAAGTTTAACTAGCTCAAATCCATCCAATAAATTTGTCCTGGTTTTCCTTCCACTTATGGGTACTTAAAGAATTGAGGAAAGTATGACTCAGGTTGGAGCAAATTTATTAATCCAGGAAGAAGTTTACATAAAGTTGTCTTATTCCTAGAAGTAAATAAGCTTAGAATTTTATCCCACTATTTCTGTTTAGATAAATATTTCAGAGTGGCAAAATCATAACATTTACATGGTACAGTTACATGGTTAATATCACTTAAACTTATAAAAATATAATATGTTTTTGCTTCATATTAAATATTTTATCTGGCTAGATGGAAAAGTGAGGTGACCAATACTCACCACCTTAAAAGATGTTTAACAGAACAGTTATTAATTGCTTAGTTAATATATTTAAATTGATAGCTTTCCAGTTTAAGATTGTTGTGAGCTAACTATTAGAAAAAAGGAAAAGGAATTAATAGGTCAGGGTTTTATTTTTCAAATTGGTTAGTCTTTCATAATACGTATACATAATTTCCTGTTGTTTTATCTTTTTTTTTCTCAGTCACTGTTTTTCACTTTTAGAAGTTTCTGGTCTCTCTATGATTTATAGTTTGATCTTTCCATGAAATGTTTTACTTTGTAAAAGATATAGGAAGGCCTTTAGTGTAAAATGGGGAAAACCCCATAAATTTTACTAAATGAAAAAATACCAGTGAGATAGAATACAATTTGTTCTATATCAGTATGACTTCAGTGGTCATGCATGGATTGTATAACCCAGTGTGGTGGATTGATGCTGGGTGGATGCCAGGTGCCCACAAAAGCTGTTCTGTCACTCCTCAGCTGTACAGGAGAGAGAAAATACAAGGAAAGGCTCATGGATAAAGCCAAGGACAGGGAGAGATCATTCAGCAGGAAAAACAGACTTGACTTGGGGAAATCAGACAATTAATGACAATCAAATCAGAGTAGGGTAATGAGCAGTAAAACCCAAATCTTAAAGAACCTTCCTTCCACCCCACCCTTCTTTCCAGGCTTAACTTTAATGCCAATCCTCTACCTCCTCCTCGTCAGTAGCACAGGAGGACAGGGAATGGCAGGTGCCACTCCTCCCTCCTCAGGGGAAGGATGACTCACCCTACTCCAGTGTGGGTCCCTTCCATGGGACACAGTCTTCCACTACTCCAGTGTGAGTCCTTGTCATGGGGTGCAGTTCTTCACACACTGCTCCAGCGTGGGTCCTTTCCACGGGATTCAGTCCTTCAGGAACAGGCTGCTCCAACATGAATCTCCCACAGGTATTCATATGTGGAGAAGCTGGTTTTGGTGGGAAATCATTTTTATCCAACTTTTTGCTCGGTTTGGAATAACCTCATTCTGTTTGTTCGTCAGACTGAATGTTTATGCTGAGAACATTGAGGACACACTGTTTTCATGGTGGTGATATTTGAATAACGAAATTTCTCAAACTTAAATTTCCTCTGTTTTTAAAAAGTTTGAGATGCCTATTGGTGGAATTTGTTTAATCATTAATGGAATAATACTGTTAAAGTATCACCTTTGTCAAAGATGCTGTTTTATTTTCCGGTCTCTTACTGCCTACCTGCCATAGAACCCAAAGGTCCCTGCGAAGATCAGTGTGCCATGCGACATGCTGAACAGATTGCTAGTAATAAATTTTCTGCTTGACAAACTTGGGATTTAACTGTGAAATCTTCAAAACACTTTTGCTTATTTCCGAGGAACTTTGGAGCATTATGTATGCAGTTAGATTTCCCTGCTGGAAACACTTCAAGCCAACCAATTTGCAGATTAGTGATGATTTTAGAAAAAAGTTCTCAGCTGACAGGAAAGCTAGAGACGGGGCATGCAAGTCTTTAGGCATTTGGTTTCCTTCTGCATAAAAAGAGAAAACTTGGAAAAGTTATTAAAAAAAAAGCCTTGTTCTTTTTGATGTTTTGTTGAAGGCTTGGAGAAAAACAGCTAGGCAATGTTGTGACTATTTATGGATACACTTCACCATGCCACTTAAAACTTCCTTTTGATTCTTGAAGTGTGTGACAGTAAAAGACACAGTTGTATCAGTGAATGCAGGATGTATGGGAATATGGAATAACAGATATTCATGTTGCTTGCCAGCTAATGGCCTTGTTTTCTTGCCTTGAATTTTATTATGTTATGAGCATGCATATAAGTGCGTTAATCAGATTTGAATATGGAAAATATATATTCATATCACCAAGTTATTTCTCATCTGATACCTCTTAAAATTCTTCATAAGTCAAATTAGATTTTTGTCTTGGTGAACACAGAGAATGTTAGCGTCCTTGTCCACTGAATCCATGAAATATATCCAATGGTAAAAGAAATAGTTTGAGAGGTGTTTAGCAACTCTTCTGCCCTTTTGCATAAAGAACCAGAAAGAACTAATTTTTTTTATTTAGAAGAAGCTAATGAAATATTATGAAAAATATTACTGGGAAAAACACTGAAGTATAAGGTTAAGTGAAACTGTGTAGCACATTAATAAATATTCTGTTGTGTAAAGCTCTGTAGCCATAATTATTGGCAGCAGTAATAATATGGTGATTATTTCAAGTCAATTTATTTTATCCTTGTCTTTTATTTCCTGATGATAAAAATTGACTAGTAGTCAGAAAAACCAGAGGCCATGCACCACACATTTTTCCTTAAAAAGCACATAAAGGAAAAAGTAACTCATAACATACCTTTCTTATGATGTACAGCCTTAGGTTTGATGTCCATCCTTTCATGGTAGTGTTAATTTAATGATACTGTTGGTAAATGGTCCATTAAAAAAATGTAAACCAAACAGCACTGGCTCTTGGGTTTTATAAGTAATGTAAATAGGATAAAAAGTCGGATGCATCCCCACTGCATTTCCAATGACTTTAGCAACAAGCAACCAGTGAGTGTAAAATAATGACCTCTATTTCCCAGTGATTACTAGGGAATGATAGAGATGCTGTAATTTAATGTGAATGTTTGAATCTTTAACAAGGGAACTTAGTTAAAATAATTTCCTTACTCTTTCACTGAATTTGCGTTCTTTCTATTAAATAAGTGGCATGCTATTTTATTTTAGAGATTCAGATATTATTCATGCTTTGCATTAATTTAATATTGTTAGTAAACTTTATAACAAGCAGAAATGTACTGGGAGTGAAATAAACTGCTAATTCCTTTTCCTTTCATAGGGTTATTCTGTGTTGACATATATACAGATGGTTCATGCTACTTATTTCCTCTTCCTTGAGATCCTCTATCGATTTGAAGCATTGAATGAGTTCTCTTGAGTGTTATCTTGCTGTAACTCCCTGATTATTTTTGAAAGTTTACTAAATCCGGAACTAAAATAGGCTCTTACTTCTTACATTCCTTGCTATTTACCAAAGTTTTTATGGCTTGCTGGCAAATGATGAATGGTCCCAGAGCTTTTCTTTCTGGCATCATGAATCTGTGAGATTCCTGACCAATATTAAATACTTCAGGGAATAGAATAAAAATTCTGAAGTATATAGTTTTTTACTATGCTTGATGAATATTTTTCTTTATAACGTCTGTCTTTTCATATCTAGTAATCTTCATGCTTCAGACAGTATCTCATTTTTGTGGATTTTTTTGTATTAACTGGATGTTCTTATAGTGGTTCTGTATTTTCCCTCACACAAGGGGTCTGATACAATCTACTTTCAGGGAAAGTATCAAAATATTCAGTTTCGAAAGCTGCACTTGAAGAAAAATAAATGGACTGTTAAAACCAGCTATCCATGGAATGGTACATAAAAATCAGATACCAAAGGACACAACATAGTTGAGCAGAATTAACCTTTTCCCTATAATGCCAAGTGGGTTATAGATTCCATCAGAAGAATAAGCGATCTTCTATCCACAGGTGCAGGTTATTACTCAGTCTATAAAGGGCAAAAATAAGATTGCATATACTAGCACACTGAGACACTTTTGATATGCTTTTTAACTGCTTTCATTGCTCCTCACCTCTTAGACAAGTTTTGGCATTTAAATTAATCTACTTGGTAGAAATCTGCCTTCAAGGAGCCTGAAAGCATATTACTAAAACTGAAGGAACAACACCACAGATGAAAGGATTTCTTTGCAATTAGGATTGGGTTTTTTTGGTTGTTTCTGTTGATCCTCCTACTCCGTCTCCCCTCATCGTGTTTTCTGTTTAAAATTAATTAAAAGCACCTCAAAGCTGGTTTTAGTGGATTTGTTTCCTTTTCTTATATTTAAGATGACTGTAAACATCTAGCATGGACTTTGCTATCAACCTGACCTCTTTGGAAAGACTTTCTGAACTTGTGCACCAGACAACTAATTTGGAAA